AACCTCGTTTAATTCGCTATCAGCAGGCACTGGCTAATTGTTCTGGACGGGCTCTGTTCCTCAGAGCAGTCAGTAACTTAGCAGCGCTTTGGGAGAACGTCGCCGTTGGGTGTCGATGCGCAGCCGTGCTGGAAAACACGTCGTATATCTGGTACCGCTACGATGCTGCCAGATCGTGGTACGCATCGCCGCAACCTGGTGGAATTGGGTTTGATTTTGCTGGTCTTGGTCAACGGTTCTGCTGGTCCGGCGCCCACGGCGGCCTGCGCGGTAGCGAAGAAATAACGCGTGGCTGGCTGGTGGACTTCAATTTGATTCGGTTTTTGGTTGTTGCTGGTCTGTCTTCGATCAGTTGATAAAAATGAATTGCAAGTGCCTGGAGAGCAACGTATCATATGGCCACTTTAGGAGGTTTTCAAAAGTGAGCAATCACTAAGCATTAATGCGAAGATGTCAGAACAAAGAAATAGGCAAAGCGATTGAAGTGCACGCATTCATGTACATGTGCTCATGTACGTGCGTTCATGCGACCGCTCGTGGGGTTCGACCAGCCATTGTTCTAAAGACGCTTTGCTCGCGATGATGTTAGTTCCAACGGCCATGAGAAAGCTTTGCGTACTCGTCCATGCCAGTCTCCATGGACCGCCTCAACACACACGTATTTTGTGTACAAACGCAAAAGTTAGACCACTATCACAATAAAATTAATGCCGGCACATCAGCGGGGACGTCCCTGGCTCTCACCTACCGGATGATTTACGTAGTGGCAAATAGTCTACTAAAAATGGTTCTGCAAAAAAATTTCCCCCGCTCGGGATTACTTTTTGACATTCTGTATGAATCACGAGGGGAAAGCATCACTGTCAATGTAAATGCTCTGAAGATTGAAGGCTGTTGACGTGCCATAACCCGTGGTGCAATATAACAAAAGGTTAAAGCTTCAGGACTGTTTAAGGAGGGGCTTATGGTTTGCGTCCAGTTAGCCAACCTGTTTTGAATTAACCCATGCGACATACGTGCGAGCCTCTGTTCCCCGCTTTCCCAAATACAAATCACTGCCACCATCTTCCGAGAGGTGAGTCACACGTACCCCATCCTCACGAGGCACGAGCTGTCCTCCTGTCTTCACAGACACCCGCTAATGTTCGCTGAGATACCTGCCCTTTCATTACAGACTGTCGCATCTGGTGCCTACCACTGCAGATTGCATACTAAATCCCTGAGGTATGAGTCAGTGCTTTCATCTCATAGAGGCACTTACTTCATACAGATTTCATCCTTCCGGAGCGTCTTCCAATGCGAGCCTCTCCCCATCTCGCCGAGGTTAAAGCCACTGCTACCGTCTCCCCGACTTCAGACTACTGCTCATCTCCCACCACTTCTGCAGAGCGCCGGCCGTCTCCGCCTCCTCGCTTTACCCGTCGCTGCAGGGCGCCGGTCGGCTCTACCTCCCCACGGCACGTCGCCTCCGCGGCCGTCTCAGCTCCGGCAGCGGCTGGACATTCCGCGCGCGTCCGGCCGCACGCGATTGGGCCGGGCGCGGCGGCCGTTTTTTGCTGCTCGGTGGCCGGCCGGCTGGAAAATTGCGCCGGGTGGTGCCGAGCGCAGCACGGCGGGGTCGCCGAGAGGAAGACACCCCGTTAGTTTTTTTTTGGACCAGGCCCTCTCAGCCAAGCCTGTTTGTCATGCACTGCGGACACAATTGGTGGGGACTGGGGAGCCCGCCCTCTGTTTTGCTGCTTAAAGCCGCCATGAGTTGGTCGCAAAGCGATTTCCAGCCCTAACAACAACGAAGAAAGCATGTTAGCAATGTTTTTGTTGCGAAGCAGTTGCTACCAAAGGCCAGCGTAATGTAATGGTGTTCAATGCACGGACTTTATGCTGCAGCCTTGCTCTGGACATAGCAATGCACGCGTCGCGTGGTGTTGATCATGTCATCCATCTGCAGCAGTCAGACACGCGGCGTCTTGAGGGCGCAGACCCTCACAAGCGGGGCTTCTCGGCACCGATGTTCGAGCGCGCAGCGGGGTCCCTCGGACGGTCCGGTCCCAGTCCCGGGTGCCGCGAGCCGCTGCGGCGGCGGCCAGCATGGCGTCCGGCGGTGCCCTGTCGTCGCGGCCAGCGCCCGCTAATGAGACGGGCCAGGCTCTGTCGGCCCGGCCCGGCCCGGCCCGGCCCCGGCGCGCCGCTGGCGCCTCTGTTGTCTCGCCGCCGCGGTCGATGCTAACACGTATCGCATCTCGTCACGCCGCGCCGAATGCGAGAGCGGTAATCAAATCGACGGGTTGAAATGCGCGCAGCCAGCCATATTGCCATTATACAGCACAACGAGGTGGCATGGGGCGGGCGGAGGGCTCCGCTGGCCGGGCTCTCATCCGGTTAAGGGCGAGGGCTGGTGAGTGTCGAGGGAGGCGGCAGCAACTGCCAAGGCGCGGAGAGCCGGCAACTGGGGTCGTAAACGACGCGGCAGTGGCGGGGGAAGATGGGCAGATCAGAGGCCCGATGATGCTAAGCATGCAAGAGTACCGGGTATGTATAGCTGTTATTGGCAAGCCGTTGACGAATGCGATTATCGTTTAGGCGAATTCATCGTCAGCATCATCGTTGATTCCTGACAAGAGATGCACACAGAGTGGTTCTTCAGTCAACGACCAGTCAGTGACCCTGAAGAATACGCAGTAAAGGATAGGGGAATACATCAAAATATGAGGTATATATTCACGACGCCAAATTACGGTTATTTACGTCTCATCCTCAGATAACAGTCTAAGTTGCCACCTGGATAGGATATCGCACGATGAAACCTAGAAATGTCTCTGTTTAGTAAGTATGCTCCTCGACGCGTCATTGTTTGATTGCGTCATCGAACCTCGCGGAACATTAATTGAGAGCCAGTTGACAGCCTTTTTGTCTGGAAATCGTCACGAACGCCAGATGTGAGCGACTCGACCGCTATATTTTTTCTCGGACTTGATCGCGGCAGAGGTTATGAATTGGCAAGGATTTGAATGATGACGTTATGGCACCATGAATTCCAAGGTGATCTTCAAATTTTCTTCCTGAAATACTCTCCCCATTTTAAGTGGGCGCATAGCTCAGAAACCGGAGTGGCGTAGGTCTTGAAAAGGGCAGGACTGTGAACTCACCAAGAGGTCTTCAAGATGGCTATTTCAGCTTGAAATTCCATTTAACTGTGTGATCCTAGGACTCCCTGGGACACGAATCCGATGGTGGGTGAATTTGGATTTATGTTCTGATTCGAAATTATGAAGCATCAGAGTGGATTTGAACACCCGATTTTAAAAAACCGAATTAGCCAGGCTTCAACCGAATTCATAAGCTCTTGGCTGATTGGTGTTGCATTTCTGAATCAAACCAATTAACAGAAGAAGCGCTGGTGCCAGTCTGTGTAGGCATCAAATTTTTGGCCTTTGTAGACGCAGTCAAAGACGTGACAAGGTAATCTATGTCTCCTACGGTATTCTAACGTCATAACTAAGACTGCTTGGTTCTATGCGCTGTTAAAAAAATAATTGCGACCACAACTATTCTTTTCGGTATTAGTCTAAAAAGTAATTACTTCCAGGAAGAAATCGGCGTTACACTATATTATTTCCAGACCACGCGGCAAGGGTCTCAAAAAATAAGCCAAGTCAGGCATTGATCCACTATTTCTCGGTCCAAGTTCTAGCAAGCCACACTCTTGGGAAGCATCATATTTACGCAATGATGAACGCACGGGTATCAGTGTGCGTTCTTTTGTGAGGGCCCTAGCCTCCCCAATGTTGAGTTACCCCCCCCCCCCCCCTCCCCAATGTTGGCTTGGCCTCCCGATGTTTTTGGCTGCAGCACTGCATAAAACGTCGGTAAAAGATGATCATAAAACAGAGACTGTTTTCTAATCTTTCTGCGTAGTGGCGTCTCGACCACTTTCATAACAAAAAGTCATGCTTGCTCTCACCACACTATACAAATCGTAACAGGTAAGCGGCTAAACAATGCAATAAACTTCACATACCTAGCGCTATAAGACACGCAGTGGTTTGAGGTTTAAGTGAAAAGCTCTGAAATACGGGGATGACATATGTCCTTCATGGCTAACCCCGACCCCGTCCTCCGCAATCAAGATGCGTGCCGCCCCCCACGACCGTCACAAAAGAGCGCCATCGGCGCCCTAAAATGGCCTCTAAAGGGGCGCCTTCACGTGCTGATCAGAAGAGACGCATCCAGTGCGTCCAGCGCCTGCTCCCTGGATCCAATCCTGCATGACTTCTGTTCTGCTCAAATTAAAGACTTATTAATTATACAAAAACAAAAACCTATTTTGCATTCAATCAAAATAAAGTGGACTAAATACGATGAAAAATGAGGGGGAGGGGGTAAGCTGTCCGGACTTCTGTTCCGCATCCAATAATTAACAAAATTAACAACCCTGGGTGACCGATGTCCTCAAAACTGAAAATCGACCCGTGTAATCGAGATCACATACACTTTTACACATGCGGGCCGTGGCAGACTGCTGTGTTCAAGAAGACCCTCTTGCCGAGTGGACGCCTAAGCGTTCCTTCCCTTACTAACAATTCGTGGCGACGCCGACGGTTTAAGTCACTACGAGAGCTGTTTTTCCTTCGCTGTCACAGTAAACTGGCGAACTGGTGATAGCGGTGTAAGGCCTTCAACCATAGCAGCTAGGTACGACAGCAACTAAAATAATGCAAACAATTCTGGACTCAGGGCTCGGTCCGCAAAAAAACACCGACATTGACGTGTCACATCCAGTTTATTTGAAGAAAATATCAGTCTAAAAGCATATTTCACCGCAATTTACTCGCACATCGACAAACAGTTTTGTATCGAATAATGATTTGAAGGGTTCGAATGCCTGATGATTTAAATTCGAGAATTTGCTGGGTTCGAATCGTTTTGAACCTATTCAAATCATAATATTCGGCTCCATTTCCGAAGGCTTCCGCGGACAGCTCTCCGGACGGGACGCTCACCTTGTCCTAGCGCCGGCGCCACCAGGGCGACTGCGATGCAGATGAGCCACAGACACTTCATTGCTGCCTGAAACACACGAACCAAAGGCACGCTGTCAGCACGGCTGACTAAACTACCAACCACGTCATCGATGAAGAAAAGACGAGCCAGAGACACCTCATCTTTGCCTGAAACGCACGGACCAAAGGCACGCTGCTCAAGCCACCGGTGGCTAAACGGCTGACTTTGTCAACCCAGCCGTCGCCGAAGGACTACGCCACGTGTGGTCGGCCTTTGTACTGCAGCTGCAGCACGAAATCTAATCGAGAACCACTTCACCTGGTCAGCAGACAGCTCGCACTCCCGCGGCTCCCCGGAGGCTCACAATGCACGACAGTCTCGCAGTCGTACCCAAATTACTGTGTGCATAAATAAACACGGGCAGGCCCAGCAGCTAGCACATGCCGGTCGCGCGACATCACCGGCTGCAACGCACTGCAGCAGCACCGTTATTGGCCACGTGCGACATGCCAAAGCGTCGCGACAGCAGGATCCGGGCCGGATGTCTGAGCGGCCGGGGCACTATAAGACACGACTTCAGCGCGTCACCTTCTGTCCCAAGTGTGACACAGCAGCTGGGGACTGAATGTCTACAATAGAGTCGGTGAGCACGGCTGCAGGGGAAACTCACTCGTCGGGGCGGTGCAGCACGGCTACGGGTTTACAGTCACCCAGGGGGCAGTACGGCGGGCAGCATGGTCACCCGGAGGGCCCCACTCGCCACACGACCATGGTGGATATACCGTAGAGACACAATTAGTGGTGCCAGCCAACTGCAGATGTCCTTGTTTGACCTGGAAACCATTCATCCCGTTTAGTTGTAAAAGCTTTGATCATATGTGATTTAGAGTAGGCATTCTAGTGGCTGGTGTGTTGCGTACGCGTATGTAAACACATGCTGTTAGATCTTAAACACGAAGGATTGAAACCACGCCAGTGCCGTTTGTGCTGTACATCAAATGGACGCCTTCATTTTCAAACAGACAGCGAAGCCCTTCCTCCTCGATTTTTAGGGCCTTGTGAGGTGCGAGAAAAGAACAGGTAATTTGTAGGGAAACACAACTTTTGCTTGTATCTGTCGCTATCGAGTCCACAATCCTCAACAAAACTTCGGGCGCATTCCGTTGCTCAAAGGAGATGAGACGAACAGCCGTTCCTACAGTCATTTTTTAATAACGCAACATGCCAGCAAATGCCTGTAAAGCAATCCGTGCCAGCAAGCTCCCACCACCGCATTCATTTAGCTGCGGAACCCAAATTTCATTTGGTGGCTTCATAATCCCAGCTTGCATTAGGTGGAGTTGGCGGCGGCCGTAAATTCTGGCAGCCGGTGCGGAACGGCCGGGGCGGAGCCGACCGGGCCGGCACCTGAGCAGACACCCCCGCCATCCTCATCACATAACCGATCGGACAAAAACCAGACCGGGCAGACACCGATGGTGGAGCGGGCGCCTGGCCGGCCGCCGCCGCGCACCCGCCCCGCGGCACATTAGACAGGCCCGCACGCGTGCCGCCTCTGCCGGAGCCTGTGCCGGAGCCGCCGCCGCCGCGCGCCCGCCCCGCGGCACATTATACAGACCCGCACGCGTGCCGCCTCTGCCGGAGCCGGTGCCGGAGCCGCCGCCGCCGCGTACCCGTCCCCAGGCACATTATACAGATCCCGCACGTGCCCCGCGGAGCTGCTGCCGGAGCTGGTGCCGAAGCCGCTGCCGCCATGCTCCCGTCCCAGGGCACATCAGGCCGACACCGCGCGTGCCGCCGCTGCCGGAGCGGCCGGTGGCGTGCTCGACTACCGCAGTGGCGTGGACGACCTCATTATGGCGTACGAAATGGTGTTTTCTGCCGCTTTATGGCCTCCATTCAGCAGTTATGTCCAGTATTTTTGAACGAAGGAAATCATCTGGGGTTTTGAGCCCGGACATTGCAGTACGTCTCAATCAACGCTGGGGACGCTCGAGTAATAGTCGCTTAAATGGATCGCATGATACACGTGAATCCGTGTTCACGAGTCTTTTTCGTTTCAAGCTGAAGCACATAAATGGGTAGAACATGCGGCGTGGCAGATGTGGCAGCATGCACAACAACTTACCCCCAGTGATCACAATGTTTCTGTGCCCATCAACAAATGTATCTGTTGAAAAATGATAGATCGTGCAGCTTTACCGCGCCGACTTATCTAGGGGTCCTCCTGCCCTGGGCGCTATTAAGAGTTCACCTGACTCTTCAGTAATTTTTCAGAATGCTGAATTTGACAGATCACGTTGAAATATGCCACATTTGTACACTTGAAAGAATTATCTACCCATAATTTCAAAATATATTGGAAATAGACAACTCTGAAGCAACAACAGTTTCGGCCGATGGCGTGTCACATTGGTCTGGAGTTGCCTATGGCAACGTTTGTTTGCCTGCTATATGTTTGCATCCACATAGCTTCCGGTGTCGATAATGTTTCCGTCGTTTGCTCATCGTGTGCCCGACTGATGGCCCAATGTGGCAGAAGTGTGAGCTCGACAGAGCACAGCTTCGTGATCTGCACTCTCCTCAGTTCCTCTCGTTCGTCGCACAGCCTGAAGCGCTGTGAAATCGCGGCCCGAAACATTCCTTACACGTGAGCGGCTGCTTGCTGCTCCTCGCACCGTCCCGGAGCACCTCCTCCCGCTGTCGCTCGGTCTCAGTCCGGTGCCGTACCCGGCCCAGCTGTGGTGTTGTCCTGCCCGGCACCCTCCCGCCGTCAGGCCGAGCTGGGGTACGGTCCAGCCGGGCACCCTCCCGCCGTCAGGCCGAGCTGGGGTACGGTCCAGCCGGGCACCCTCCCGCCGTCAGGCCGAGCTGGGGTACGGTCCAGCCGGGCACCCTCCCGCCGTCAGGCCGAGCTGTGGTGCGGTCCGGCCCGGTGCCTTAGCCGTCCCGGCCCAGCTGTGGTGTTGTCCGGCCCGGCACCCTACCGCCATTCCCGGCCGACTGTGGTGTGGCCCTGCCCAGTACCCTACCGCCATTCCCGGCCGACTGTGGTGTGACTCTGCCCGGTACCCTGCTGCTCTTCCTGACCGAGCTGTGATGTGGTCCAGCCCGGTACCGTTCCTGACCCAGCTGTGGTGCAGTCCAGCACCCTCCCGCTCTCCCCGTCTGAGCTGTGGTGCGGTCCGGTCCGGTACCCTCACGCCGCCTCGGCCGAGCTGCGGTGTGGCTCTGCACAGCACCCTCCTGCTCTCCCTGACCGAGCTATGATGTGGCTCTGCTCGGTACCCTCTCGCCCTCCCTAGCCGAGCAGTCATGCGGTCCGGCTCGGTACCATTCCTGACCGAGCTGTGGTGCGGTCCGGCCCGGTGCCCTCCCGTTGTCCCCGGCCGAGCTGTGGTGCGGTCCGGCCCGGTACCCTCCCGTCGTCCCGGTCGAGCTGTGGTGCGGTCCGGCCTGGTACCTTCGCCGTCTCGGCCGAGCTGTGGTGCGGTCCTGCCCGGCACCCTCCCGTCGTCCCCGGCCGAGCTGTGGTGCGGTCCGGCCCGGCACCCTCCCGTCGTCCCCGGCCGAGCTGTGGTGCGGTCGGGCCCGGCATCCTCCCGTCGTCTCCGGCCGAGCTGTGATGCGGTCCGGCCCGGTGCCCTCCCGTCGTCTCCGGCCGAGCTGTGATGCGGTCCGGCCCGGTGCCCTCCCGTCGTCTCCGGCCGAGCTGTGATGCGGCCCAGCCCGGTGCCCTCCCGTCGTCCCCGGCCGAGCGGTGGTGCGGTCCGGCCCGGTGCCCTCCCGTCGTCTCCGGCCGAGCTGTGATGCGGCCCAGCCCGGTGCCCTCCCGTCGTCTCCGGCCGAGCTGTGATGCGGTCCAGCCCGGTGCCCTCCCGTCGTCTCCGGCCGAGCTGTGATGCGGTCCGGCCCGGCATCCTCCCGTCGTCTCCGGCCGAGCTGTGATGCGGCCCAGCCCGGTGCCCTCCCGTCGTCCCCGGCCGAGCGGTGGTGCGGTCAGGCCCGGCATCCTCCCGTCGTCTCCGGCCGAGCTGTGGTGCGGTCCGGCCCGGTGCCCTCCCGTCGTCCCCGGCCGAGCGGCTGGTGTGGTTACCCGCTGCCAGCTCCGCGCAGTGCCGGGTGGATCTGGATGCAGGCCGGCTCTTCAGAGAGGGCTTTCCGAGAGGCTATTTGTGTTGCGTCGTGGGGTAAACACAGCGGCGGCGATGCGGGGGCGATAACAGACTCACGAGTTAAGGCGGGCTGTATAAAGTGGACGGTGGCGGTGGACGGCAAAGCGTACTGCAGGCGATGGTGACGATGGACAGTAAAGCGCACCGGGCAGCGTTTAAAGTGAAGAGAGGGTGTCCAACAGGAGGGAAGGCACTAAAGAGGGTATCCGACATGTGCGCATGGCCCATTTTTATAGGTGTCTACTGCACAGATACTCAACCTTGGTGTAGCATTCTGCAACGTTATGATCTCCTCTGAAAGAACATTAAAACAAAGCTGTGGCTGAGTTACACAAGTAAGTATATATCCTTACCTGTTAGAAATATAGAAATATAATATATATATATATATATATATATATATATATAATAAAATAAAAACGAACGATCGCAGCGAAACGGAATTTGTAGTGCCTGTTCATCTATCAATGTGGCATCATTTGTGCAAATTGGATGTTTTGGCCCTCTAAGATCAGCTACCCAGGTCAGGTCAAATAGATCATCCCTCAAATATTGACCACATCTAACTTTTCGTGGGTTATTTGCCAGTGTTCAACTTTATTTAAGTTACAGGACATGGTAGTACATTAGGATTTTTATCTTTCTTCAGAAAATGCAAGGTCGGTGACCTAAAGACAGGTAATTTTCTGCTATTCTTGTAACTAGTGCAAATTTGTACGCATTTTTGTGTAGTGCTGTTGTTTGTACCTGAAAAAAGTGCTAACTTACATGCACAACCATCATATGACCACAGAACTCATACCCTTGGCTCAGATCATGACCTATCGCTGTCGGTACCTTTTGCAAAACACGTGCTGAGCTGAAAATAGTCAGTAGTGTGAGATAATTTTT